TGTGTGTGTGGTGTGTGTATGTGTGTGTGTGGTGTGTGTGTGTGTGGTGTGTGTGTGTGTGTGTCTGTCTGTATATATGCCATGGTGTGTGTGTGTGTCTGTCTGTCTGTCTGTATGCCATGGTGTGTGTGTGTGTGTGTGTGTGTGTGTGTGTGTGTGTGTGTGTGTGTGTGTCGCATGTATGTGTGTGTGCACATGCGTGTGTAGGTCAGAGAACAGCCGTGGGTCCCAGGAATTGAATTGAAGTCATCAGGCTTGGTAGCGGTGCCTTCACCTGCTGAGTCATCTTGTTGGCCCCTCCAGGTTTTCCTCTACCCATGCATGTGAAGGTGCAGTTGAACTGTTTTTACAGTCATGTCTTTTGAGCTTTGAACATCTGAAGCAGTATCTCCTGCTTCGCCCTCTGCCCTACCCGAGACAGGACACACATGTTCCCACTGTTCCTCAGTGTGGGCCCACTGGCACCTTGCTTGCTGTAGACCTTTTCGTCACTACAGTCCTCCTTGGGCAACCAGGGTGTGTCTCGGTCACAGTTCACCAGCAGGATGGCCCCCTGGCCCTCAGGACCCCAGGTCCAGGATGCCTGCAACAGCAGGGGCACAGGTCAATGCCTTCCCTGGTTCCATCCAAGTACAGCTTCTGAGGGATACTGAAGGATAGACATGGTAAGGAACAGGTCCTAGCCACTGGGACCTGGAAGTCTTGAAGTGCCCAGAAAGGTCCCATGTGATTACCCAAGTTCAAGAGCAGAGAGACAGGAAGACTGGATAGGGCATGTGGGCCTCAGCTCTGGTGTGAGGTGACCATGCCTGGCAGAGATGGTGGCAGGAACTGACATTCTAGGACAGGCTTGAGGTGACTGATTCCAGACACGCTCTGAGTGCTCCCAAGGGGCCCGCCACCTTGCTCTGCTTTCTGTCCTGAAGCCACAGTGGCCAGAGCAGACTTCAACTGGATCACACCACTTCCTCGTTTGAAGCCCTCACTGTTGACTCAGATAAGGCCTGGATTCTCTGATCTTCCGTGAGGCTGGTGAGACCCACGGCCTCTGCATCGGGTCTCTTCCACCCACCCTGCCCTAGCCACGTGAATGCCCTGCACCCTAGAAACTCCTGGACGGTTACCATGCCTGTCCCTCCTTCCCACTCAACTTGACCTCTTTTCTTAGACTCTGTGCACCTGGCCCTCCTTGAAGGAGCCTTTCTGACGGTCAGGGCAGCTGCCCTGCTCTGTGCATAGTCCTTTCTTCATGCCTTCTTTCAGGAACACTGAGGTCACAGAATGGTTACAATGTAGTCACCTATATCATTCTTCCTTGAATTTTGGTCTCTGGGCCTGACCTGGTCCTGACCTCGTCCTAGAATAGAAGAGATAAATCTCTTGTTGCTTTGAGACAGGGTCTCACATAGCTCAGGAGGGCCTATAATTCACTACCTATAATTCACTACCTAGCAGAGGATGGACTTGAACTTCTGATCCTCCTGCCTGTACTTCCTGAGATCTGGGATTCCTGGCATGCACCACCATTACTAGCTAATATAAAAGATATTATAGGGTGGGCAAAGACACGTGACAATTTCACTCATCCAGGTATGATGAGAATTAAAATTCTCATTAATTCAGGTCTACAGGGACTGGATGACTTTGCTTGATTGCCCTAGGATTGATGCTGGGGATCAGACACAGGTTTCCTGCATTTAAGACAAGCATTCTATTGACTAGGCTATATTCTCAGTCTACATTTTGTGCAGGATTGTCAAGACCTACAGTCGTTTTTAAGGGCTATCTCTAGAAAGCAGGTTGGCCTCGAACTCTTGATCCTCTGGTCTCCATTCCCTGAGTGCTGAGATGACAAGTACGAGCCACCTCTCTCAGCCTCCTTTATTTGTCTGGATTTTTGAGGCAGGGTCTCACTATACAGCCTTGGCTAGCTTAGATCTCTCTACGTAGACCAGGTGGGGCTCTGCCTCCCAAGTGCTGGGATTAAGGTTGTGTGCTACCACAACTCCCTACCCCTTAATTTTAAAAGAAAAGGAACAAATGTGTCCCCTAGGCAGCCTCTGTCTCAGATACACTGATTCTTCCTCGGTTCTGTGATCTTCCAGCAAGCCTGGCTCTGCTGGGGACCACCCCCTGCTGTGCTGCATCTGTACCCTGCTCTGACCCCGAGCCTCTGGCTCTTCAATTTGGCCAGGGGCTCTGTAAGTTTGTTCCCATATCACAGGATGAAGTCCCTCCAGGCAGAGAGTAAGAGAAAGGGGGAGGGGAGCCTCCGCTTGGCACCTGCTATACCTTGGCACAGGCCCTTTGCACATGCCACTCCCCTGAAACCTTGGAGGCACCGTGCTAGAACGATCTGCAAAGCCCCCTTTTGCAGATGGAGAAACTGAGGCCGAAGGTGATGGAGTTGGTGTGACATCACCATGAGGTGGACAGAGGAGGCAAAGCCGCAGCTTATTTCCACCTGCCCTGAGGCTTTTGCTGCTCAGTGTGGGCTTGGGACAGTCCCGGTGAGACTAGGGGTGTTTAGGGTGTCCCTGTCTCTTAGGTGCTGCCTCTAATCACTCAGAGTGGAGATGCCAAGGGAGGAGAACGCCAGGTGGGACATGGACTGTGGGTGGGCTACTGGTTCCTGCTAGTGGAACAGAAAACAAAATGAATGGTTTGAGTGGGATTTCATAGAGCCTGGTTTTTACAATGTGAATTACTGCCTTTTTGTTTGTTTGTTTTTCGAGACTGGGTTTCTCTGTGTAGCTTTGGAGCCTATCCTGGCACTCGCTCTGGAGACCAGGCTGGCCTTGAACTCACAGAGATCCGCCTGCCTCTGCCTCCCGAGTGCTGGGATTAAAGGCATGTGGCACCAACGCCTGGGGAATTACTGCCTTTTATTCTGGGAAAATGCCCTGTCTGGGGGATCCCTCTACCATATGTCTGTATCTCAGCCCCTCCTTCTTTCCTTTATTTTTGGAGACAGGGTCTCCTTAGGCCGTCTAGGCTGGCCTTGAACTCTCTTCTTAGCCCAGACAGACATTGAGCTTTCAGTCTCCTGTCTCAGCCTCTGAGGAGCTGGGATGACAGGGTCACCAGGCCCCGCTTCTGTTTTTCTGCTTGGTTTGTTTGTTTGTGTTTTTAAAGACAGGGTTTCTCTGTGTAGCCCTGGTTGTCCTGGCACTCACTCTAGAGACCAGGCTGGCCTCAAACTCACAGAGATCCACCTGCCTCTGCCTCCTGAGTGCTGGGATTAAAGGCGTGTGCCACCAACACCCGGCCTTCCTTTCTGCTTTTTGAAAGTTACTTATTTATATATTTTTTTGAGATCGGGTCTTATGAAGTCCAGGCTGGCCTTGAGTTTGCTATGTAACCAAGGCTGGCCCTGAAACCCTGATCCTTCTGCCCCTGCCACGTAAGCCACCAAATCCAGCCCTTCCTGTTCACTGTGTGTGTGTGCGTGTGTGTGTGTGTGTGTCTGTGTTTGTGTGTGTGTGTGTGTGTGTCTGTGT